GGGGCGCCCTCGGCCTGCGCCCGCTCCCTGCGCGGGGCCTGGGGCTCCCGCGGCGGCCAGACGTGCGGCACTGCTTGGCCCCTGCCCCTGCGCCTGCGCCGGGGGTGCTGGAAACCCCCGTGGCTCTCTCTTGCCTTCGCTCCCCTGCTGCTGTTCCCCAGGGCAGGGCAGGGCGGGGAAAGCGGCTGGAGGGACGGCGTGGACGGGGGGCAGTTTTGTCGGGATGCGCATGAGGACTGCGCGGGGTTTTCCTCTTGGGAGCTGGAGCGAGAGGGCCCGGGTAGTGGGCGTGGGTCAGCCACGCGTGGCGGGTAGCAGTATCCGGGGAGCGAGGTGCTGGGCCAGAGGCTTCCTTCCTCTCCTACCTGCTCTCACTTGGAAATGGCCCTTGGAAAAACGCGCAGCCGCTCAAAGCGTCCCAGGCGTCCCTTTGCCACAGGTGCAGGCGCGCAGCCGTGGGCGCCGACGTGTATTTTTGGGGGAGCCCTAAGAGGATGGACGTGTGGGAAGTCTGCCACGTTTCGGGGGACGGCGCATGCACTCAGCACCTTTATTCGCAGCAGCGGCCTAGATAAAAAAACCTCAGGCCTCGCCAGCTAACTATCTCCTCAGCGGCCAGCAGAGAAGATCCCCGGACACTCGCAGATGCATCCGACACGCGGGGACTGCCACTTCGTCCCGACTTTCCACCAGCAGTCGTGCTCCTCTCTGACATTTTATGCACGTGCTTTTCTCCAATGCTGGGGGGATTCGAGTGGCTCCGCGGGATCCCCGTGGCTTAATGGTTATTTCATGTGTTCCTGAACGACGACCTGTATCATATTCCCCCATCTAAAATCTGAATCTTCAGTTGAGGTCTCAATTCATTACCCGAAAAAGAATTTGGTCAGGAATAAAAAGCAGACAAAACTGTGCCGTGCCTCATTTGTACGTTTGTGCCAATGCTCTTGTTATTAAAAGAGCCAGGGAGCAAAATCACCTACTGAGACAGAAGTGAATCTTCTAAGAGACCTCAGTAGTTTTATGAAAGTCCTGTTTCTACTGGATGCTCCAAAGAAATCATGAGGATTTGCCACTTCACGGATACAATTTTGGAAGAATTCAAAGCCTGAGCCATAAAAATGTGTGAATTGCTCGTGCAAGATTGACAGCAGCACGTACAGCCGCGACAACAGCCCAGAGTTGTGCCACTGGTGATGTCTGTACCAAAGGGCAAACTGGTAGAATTGAATTGAATTAAATTAAATTAAAAGGACTTCTGTTGTTTTCCCCCTAATAGATTTAAAAAACAGACAAAGCAGGGTGGGGTGAAGGTGGGGAAATGGCTGTCTGTCGGTGGAGGAATGGACAATGCAAGGACCCAAGAGTGAAGCGTGTGAGAAGGCGACGCGGGAGGAAGGGACGATAAGGAAACAAAGGTTAAGAGAGATGGTGAAGGTAGGGGATTACCCACATGCCAGGTGTACTCGTGAATTGGAGCAAAACCAACCTGAAAACAAATTCAGGGAAGAAACAAGGCATGATCCTGACCTCCAAGCTTGGCCCTGTTCCCAAATTAAGCCCTAGGTATCCCTCTTCGATGCCCGCTATTACAGCATCTGATGGAGCGATGGGTTCATGACAGCTCGTGCTAGATATACTTTTATTCAGTCTCTAAAGGAGTGTATATATACCCTGTCTTCTGACTAGCTTCACACTAACATGGTGAACTACCTCTCTGAATTGCAACCTACACCCCTCTCTCCACCCGCCCTCGCCATTACAAGGACGGCCACTCCCCCGCCCCCCAGAACCAGTGGGGTTTCCTTTTCTCTCCATATAGGTCTTTACATCTCAAAGCAGGCAGGGATGCGAGCACATTCACGCACAAACAGGCCAGCTTACACGCTTGCCTAATAAAGGGAGAGGGTCCAGAAAGCTGGGGGCAGGATGCAAATGGGTTCGGCCTTCATTTGAATACAGATGACCTCGTCGTTAAACCCTGAAAACCAGAGAAGGGCCAAATATGACGGCGTTTGGGGTTTCTCTCGTCTCGCCTCCACTCGAGGTGCTGCTGTTACTGTGCAATAAGAGACATTGAGAAGAAACATGTTGCTAGACATGTAGTTGTGTGAAACCCGGGGGAGACTAGGTCTGCTCGTCTCATTCCAGCCACATCTCCGATCTTAAAATGCCCCTGCCCAGGGAGAAGTCGAGGCATGCTGCTCCCTCCACACCCCGTGGGCTCCCGGCTCGGGAGGCTCTGCTACCGGCACACCTCTATTCTCCACCGTCTCAGCCAGGGTGGCTGCAATCATTCAGACCTAGACTTCCTATTCAGGTCCCTTGGTTTCCCACCATCTGGTGGCCACTCAGTGACCTAAGTGAGGCAAGCTGGTGATCTCAAACCCCTTTGCACTAGATAAGCATCCACATGTAAAAGCCGGCGTGCCTGGTGGCTGCCTCAGCAGAATTGTAATTGCAAGTGAACTACCCTCTACCCTGGGTGTCCTTGAAGCAGGGTGTTATTGTGTGTAAGTTGAAGTTCCCCCCCCATGCAGATAGCTCTGGCTGGAAAAGTCAGCGGATAAACTAGGGCTCTCTCTCTTCAAGGCTGTTCATCCAGGGTCTTTCCTTGCACTAACCTTGGTTAAAACTTTTGTTTTTAGGAAAGCATAATCTCGCTTAATTAAAGGCAAGCGTAAGGCAGCACCAGGGAATGGGAATTCAAGAATGAAACAAACCCCTTGGCTTCGGTTGGATCAGCTCACGTCAGGTCTAAAGGAGCGCCAGACTATTTTCTAGGGGCAACCCATAATTACGCGGTAAAGGAACCAGTCTGTCAGGGAAAGTCCTTCAAGAGTTGGAGAGGGGGCAGAAGGTTGAGGAAATGCCAAAAAAAATCAAGGCAAGGTCTATAATTTTCTATTTCCTCTATAAATTCAAAGCAAACTCTGACAGCGAGGTCCTAACAAGGGTGTCGTTTGCTCCGTGTAGTCCTTCTGAAATCACTGTGCTAATTAGATAAGGAGGTAACGGATCAGGATTGATAGGGCATTTTACCTCTGTCCTCACCCAAAGACCTCTAGAAAGATTAATAAAATCCTACCAGTAAAATATATAATAACCCCTTTTACACACCAGGAAACTGAGTCACCGGGAGGTTACTGGCCGGCGTTTCAGGGATGGTGAGTACCTCCAAGACATCCAAGGGAATGGGCAGATTTGCTGCTGAAGTTTAGGTGTTTCCTACCCCAGACAGCTATGGAGCTGGTAGCAGCAGTGGGACTTTAAATTGGGAGCCCCGTCTCCTCATCCTCTGCTTGGCCCTGGGGCACAATTACCCGTAAAAGAAGGTGAGTGTCAAGCCGTAGACGTACAGTACTTGCCATTGACAGTGATGCCAGGGGTCCCCCTCCGGCCCAGCAGGTGTGTTGCGGCGTGATGTACTACGCCATGTGGGAACGGGCACGCTGATCCCAGGGAAGCGCTGTCCCGACACGAAAACTGGCTGCTTCACCTGACATCGCGCACTCCTTTGCCCAAGCTACTCCAGCGTGTTCGCAGACCTTCAGGACAGACCTAGGTCCAGTCTCAAATGGGTGGTTCAGATACACGCTGGAGCAATTGAGACACACCGGCTTTGTCCTCGTTGTCCTTTCAGCTTCTGGGTTCAGTCTGCCCCGAAACCAGAGACAGGCCCCAAAGGCCAAGAGCCCGGCTCAGGGCCCGCTCATGCAGGGGCAGGTTCGGGGCCTGCAGCTGCTGCTCGCTGTTTTCTTGCAGGAGGCGAACCAACCCCTCGGACCCAAACACACCCAGCACCTCTGGGTAGCTCAGACGTTGGGTAGATCCAGCGCTACCCTGGTTCTAGGAGTGGGATTCAGGGGACCCTGCTTTGCATTGCTCTGCATGGGGTCGAGCTGTCATTCCACCCCCACTTTGGCCGGGGGGGCGGGGAAGGTGCATGCAAGCCAGGTCAGGTCACCAGCTGGGCTTGCGGCGCCTCTTGGCATTATCCTCCCTCAGTTAGAAGTGGAGGGGTGAGCCCTCCCGGGGAAACCCATGGGAAGGGAACTGCCCTGCATGCAGCAGTGGTCTCAGCGCGTGAGAAACACAGAGCTGGAGTGAGACGAGGCGTCTCCTCCCCCCTGTAGTGCAGCGGTGGCCTTCTGGGATGTCTCAGGTAGAAATAGTTCAAGGGTTGAGGGGAAGCTGGGGGCCTTGGTCTGGGCCCCAGCATTTCTCCTTGCCCCCTCCCTCCGCACAGGGCTCCCCTTGTTTCCCAACTGGCCCGAGCAGAGCTCGGCCTTGCAGCTCGCAGGAAACAAACTTGGGCTTGACTCCTTGCCATTTTGAACGTACAACGGGGAAGCCAAGTTTCATGGCCATTACCGTGGAGTTAATAACCCTTCGGAGACTGCAGACATGTGTTATATCCATCTTCCCCAGCCGCCGTTCGGCTCTCGGCCTGGAAAGTGCCAGCAGGTGAAGGGTTAACTTGGCTGTTCCCCAAAAGTCTCCTGATTTCCAGTCCCCCCCTCTCAGGAAAC